GATTGTAAATGAGACAAATCTCCACAAGAGACCAAATGACACAAAAATAAAAAACTAAAGGTCACCATATGGGCCATTATGGCCTTCGCCAATGAGTAAAACCTATACTGCATAGTCCAATATGAAAGGCCTCGAAATGACAAATGTAAACAATTCTAATGAGAAAACTAACAGCCTGATATATGTACAAAATAATGAATGAAAAACAAATATGCCTGTCTTGCAGGGTTTATCTGAACTTAGCCTCATTTTCATGGTTTTGTCTGTTTCTTGCATACTATATGTTTCAAAATATTTGGTTTAAGGCATGATTGTAACAGAGGTGGATTTACGGGGAGGGCCCATGGTGCCCCCCCCCCTTTTTGTTGGAAAAATTTGGTTGCTTATATAGGGAATCACTGAAGCATGACTGGAGCAGGCCCCTCTTAGGCAGTCAGTGCCCCCTCCCTTTATGAACATTTCGGGATCTGCCACTGTGTAAGGCTGGCTTGGTTTAACTGACCTTGGCCTCATTTTCATGATTATTGATTATTGATAATTGATAATATTAATTTTTTCTGATACTTGTAGTAAAACTTTATCTTTAGGAATATCAACATAAAATCAATCAACCATGATGATTAGTAAAGCAGGTGAGACATTTCAGCTTGTGCACTCTTGTTAACACAAAAAATGTGTTGAAAGGTGTGACTACCATACATGCAGATGTATCTAGGAATATGTCTTAATAACTTGAAAAATATGTGATCTATCCTAATACTTCTTGTTTGTATTGGAACAAGTCCTAATAGTTCACACCTTTTCCTTGGAAGCATTGTTTTTTAAGAAAACTTATTTCCATATTTTGTGTTCACAGCTATCGCGGTTGAAATTAATATCGTTGTAATCCCAACAATTCTGTCTACTCACCATTTTCAAATTTGGTACATCAAGTTAACTTTGGTCTTTCAGATATATTACAACTGCGATATTTAAGGTCTAAGGTGACCCTCAAATAAAACTTTTCACCATGAAATATTTAAAAAAAATAATAGGAAGATGTGGTATAATTGGCAATGATGCAACTCTCCACCAGAGACCAAATTACATAGAAGATAACAACTATAGGTCACCGTACGTACTTTCAGCAATGACCAAAACCCATACCGCGTAGTCAACTATTAGTATGATAAAAGGACCAGAAATGACGTTCTTTTGTATATAGTTGCACACAAAATAACAGTTTAATTTGTTCTTGCTGAACGTTCACTGGCAAATATTTCAAGCATAATACGGATGAGAACATATGGATGATAAGTACCATATGAAGATTCTGCAAATTAGGAGGGGCTAGATATATGGACTGCCAAATGAATGGACAATCTATGTTGGGTATGGGCAAAATTCCCTCTTTTTACCCTACGAGGCTGCGTATTTATACATCCAGCTGTATGAACTCCCTGTCTAAGCAAAGGTTATCTGTCGGATTAGGAAAGTCATATTTTTATACCCATGTTAACCCTACGATATAAAAATAAGGAGATGTGGTATGATTGCCAATGAAACAACTATCAACCAAAGTTCAAATTTAAAAGTCCAGTTAAAAAAAAAAACATTTTTTTTTCTTATTGGTAGTGGCTATTTTGCCGGCTCTGATTAAAATATCTTAATTCAAGCCTTCAATTTCTATAGAAATGGCTATTTTACCGGCAACAGCAATACAGTGAATTTGTAACCCATGCTGGAAAAATAGAAAATATGTTATTTTGCTGGAATTAGGTAATCGGAAGCCAAGTTAAAAACTATTTTGTTTACACAGTTACACATGCAACTCAAATAAATATCTATTATTCCAAAAGCAAGTTTAATTGAAACATTCTTTGATTTTTTTAAGCTATGTGATTGACTTTGTTATATTGTATAATGTTTATGATGCAATGAGATTTTAAAATTTTTATTTTTTTATAACACGTAGTTAAAAAATCTGAAATTTTATTCTTATGCATATATGTATCATTAGACTGTCACTTACTGATTTTAGAAATAATTTCAACTACATGTTTAGATATGATTTCATTGCAACAAATGGATGCTCAATATTTTTATTTTGTTTTTTTTCTTGTTATAAAATCTTAATAGTTATTTATACTTTGACTGATAAATGTTACGTTCTCAAACGATTATACACGTGTCTCAAATATTGTTAGCAGTTTTCTTATATTAATAACTACTGATAAATCAGTAATTATTTTATTTTATGTTGACAGTGCACATAATTTTTCATAGTACTTTCAAAAGTAAATAAAATATTTAATTTCACTCTTTACAAAGAACCTACAAAATAACAAATTCACTTTTTTGCTGGTGCCGGTAAATTAGCCATTTCTATAGAAATAGGCTATTTTGCCGGTTTGAATAAGGATATTCTAATTCGAGCCGGCAAAATAGCCACTGCCTTTCTTATTATCATCATAGACCGATAATTACTTTTCTTTGCAGCAGGTGGGTCAAACACATGTCCACACATCATTTAGAAAATTGCCATTCATATTTTTTGCCGCAATGACACACTCCACTTTCATTTTTTTTAAATCAAGAACATTCCTTATTCATGTTATTAGCTTCCCTTTAAAAAAACGCATGTCAAAAATTAAGACAGAAGTTAAAGTTTGCCAATATCACCGACTAATATAGCGTCCCTGTGTACTGGGCCGAGTTTTAAAATTACAATCCCAACTTTTCCTGAACCTAGTAAGTAGTATAGATTTTGTTTATATATAAAGTCTTTAGCTGTTATTGTTTGAAACTGCCCGGTAGACTTACGGGGGTAAACGCTAAATCCCGACTTGGTCAGACCAAATATATTGTGCTTCTCCGCAAAGCATGCGGTATTGAGGGATAATAGCATAGACCGATATACAATGTAGGTCGGAATTCTAGGTCCAGGTTACTATTGACCAATTTTCATCTACATGATCAAAGGTGGAAAACAGCAAATAGTTGAAGTGTCGGGGTTTTTTTCGGCGTAAAACAAATAATCAATTTAGTGAAATATTTTGCTCGAGTTCCGGTAGTCTATCATAATAACACATTCTTATTCAATTATTTAAATTTTTACGCTGATGTTTCCTCTTTTTTTTTTAATGCGAACTCGGTTGGCATATTAAAAGATAAAACAGAAAATAGAAAATTAACAAAATAGCAAAATAAGTAAAAGGAAAATATCATAAATAGAAAACAATGACCCCGAGGTCTTATGTTAAAGGACTAGAGTTCCGGAATTCATAGAATTATGATACGAGAAAATTTGTTAGATATTTTTGTGCCCATGAGTTGATAAAGTACATAAATCTTTAAATAAAAATGTTAGGTGTGACTGTCATGTATTTAGTCTTTGCTTGAAAATTGTCATAGTTCAAAACTATTATCAAAATTTTGCAGTGAGAAAATGTTTCACATACTCCGGAATAAAATCCTACCAATACTTGGAAATGAAGATATTTCAAGTAAAAAAAGAGATTTATGGCAGTAACAAAATATTATTATACGCTAAACGGATAGCGTGCAGATGAACCCCCGATGCCTTTATACTATAGCATACTATATGGGTTTTACTTGTTTTTTTAAAGCCGTGCGGTGACATGCAGTTGTTTACATCGCTATCCTTTGTTTACGGTTCATTGACAAAATATTTTCATATATACATCTAAAAGACATCTTTTAATTCAACCGGTATTTAAATGAAAATAGGATGCGAACGGACCCAAGGATCGAACGTGTAGGGTGAGAATGTGTTTTCGGAGCGAACGCACCAGATACCGTCGTACATGTCAATATTTATAATTTCTTTTTTTTAATGTTATGCTCATATCATGTATATTTATGTCTTTTTTATGTGAAAAATGAACAAACCACTCTGTATTTCTGACCGTATTTCCTTTTTTGAAGAAAGTTTTGCATCGTTTGTTGACATCGGGAAAGGGTGCTCTCAGACACGTCCGCGTACCAATGTCGTCAACACTACTTTTGAGAAGACCCCTCAAAGCGATCGTTGTCAAGGCGCTCGTCGTTAGAAACATGCGTTAAAAACTGCGCACTGTTAAAGGGCCGAGCCACCTTTATCGACAAAGTGTATACTAAATGCTCTAATTCTATCATTCACAAAAAAAAAAATTTTGTTGGCATATTTGTCAAATAAACTATCAACTACAATTTTTTTCTTTGTAGACGTTTTTGAATGTTTGTATGAATTATTTGATCAGTCGTCGTTGCTTGTCTGTGATGTAAGTTTACACAGTTTTTGCTGTTGGTTCCCAATTATTGTCACATTGACTTATTTTGTCTGTTTGGGTTGTCTACCCAATGTTGTTATTATAACGGAACTTTAAACAACTGTCATACAAGTGGGTAGTTAAAATAGCTATAAAATCAAGTCTTATCCACCAGTTTCTTCGGAAAATGCCAATACCAAGTCAGAAATATTACAGTTGTTTACCACTCGTTCCGTTTGTTGCTAAAGTCGAACGTTTGATTTTAAATTTTTTATGGCTCCCTCCCATTTGAATATACCTTGAAGTTCGATATTTTTGTTAGACATTTTGATTGATTACATCCTCAAATATAATTCTAAGCCTTTTGAGATACTTCTTCCAATGGGTTTATATAGGTTATTTGTAGAAGTTTGTAAAAGAAGTCCAATTGTCACTTCACAAATTCTACAATCGTCATCAATGACTGGTAAATCATCACGGTGTCTCAACTGTTTGTCAACTAAAGCGTGACATAATAACTTTTTGTCATGGTTTTATACATATCCACGTAGTTAATCTGATATTATAACTGATTAATTTATCACTGGATATGGCTTAAGATAAGGGGATGCATACAGAGATGTATAAAACATTTGTAAATTATTTTGAGGTTAGATTTTTTACATTAGCTCAATGTAAAGTGTGACAAATATAATGGCGTAATGATAAGTTTCCTAAAAATGTTATGATTGATAATGGTTAATAAATTACCCGTATATGGTATCTGTCCAAATGTCATCAATTCCACTAAAAGGATACCAAAGGACCAAACATCCGACTTGAACGTAAACTTGCCATACAATGCAGCCTCTGGTGCTGTCCATTTTATAGGGAACTTCTCACCTGCAAATTAGTTTAACAAGTCTTAGCAGGAGCAATACTACCAATATGAACCAACTTAATAAGATACCGATTTATACAAAAAGGTTATTGAAAGGACATTACAATTTAATTACTCTACGAATCACAGATAAATTGTTTTCCAGCAGACAGTTTCTATATGACGTTTGTAAAAATGATTCAAAATGATCAAATGAGCTAATGATGAAACTAATAAAGCTTAATGACCAACAGGGACCAAAATCAATCTAAGATCAATTTGGAAGAGGAAGTCGGCAAGTTAGTTTCATAATAATTTCTTTTCTTATCAACTGAGATTTTAAGAAAGGTATGTTATGCTTTTACGACATTATCAACAGCAAAATTATGTTTTTTGTCATGCCTCATTCAAACTTAATAAAAATATAGATAAGATACAAACCGGTTGCCCACCTCTAATTTTCTATTCACAAAGGCGGAAATGTTTTAACTATAGCATAAAGTAAAATTACAAAAATACTGAACTCCGAGGAAAATTCAAAAAGGAAAGTCCCCAATCAAATGGCATAATTAAAAGCCCAAATACATCAAACGAATGGATAACAACTCTCATATTCCTGACTTGGTACAGGCATTTTCTTATGTAGAAAATGGTGGATTAAACCTGGTTTTAAAGCTAGCAAAACCTCTCACTTGTATGACAGTTGCATCAAATTCCATTATATTGACAACGATGTGTGAACTAAACAAACAGACACAATGGGTAAAAATGTCACAAATAAGGGTACAACAGCAACACGAACCCCACCAAAAACTGGGGGTGATCTCAGGTGCTATTATTATCATTAGCATATTATTCCTAAATAAAAATTTTAAGACGAACTTCTCAAAACTTTGCCATTTAAGGTATGTTGACTGTATACTGCCATCTTGGATTGAAAATAAGCAGTACACAATCGTTCTAGTTCTCTGCTTAGATCTGCAAATTTTTGGGAGATAACTCAAAAATATTATTTCTTATAAAGAAATGATAAAGAAATTGTCATGTTTTACTTGTAGCATGAAAACAAGTTCACTTTTTCTTTTTCTTTTCTAAAATCATATCATCAAACCTATCTTCTCATATTTTATTTCAAAATTCTATCCCAAAGATTTCTTTTTATTCACACAAATGTGTTTTATCGTGAATAATCTATACACATTTGGGCAATTTTGCTATTGAAAAAAAGCTCGGTGGTCCATACTTTTTATCATTTTTTTGAAAAGAGCATGGTAAAATTATCAGAAAAAAACGTACTTCAAGTATTCGCAAAGCGTTTTGTGTTAGAACCGGCCGTCAAAGCAGCCAACCATGTTGTAGGGGTACATGTATGACGTAAATACTACACGGAAGTTCTTAGGAATGAAATTATCAATTCTTCTACATTCAAGGACCTGCGCTGCACAGAGAGACAAATTGTAAACACCCATACCATGTCACTACCACAGCTCAGCTTCTGAATATTTGAACGTCCTTACTATGTATTGGTTTCATAAACTACAAAGAAAACCCGTCAAATATAGTTTCATTTCAGCTTCTAGTAACATTTCTTTTACCTATCTTTCTGTGCTTTTGTAATAAAAGCATAAAAAAATAATGAAATTATTTATTTTTTGAAGTATTGAACTCTCTTTTGGTATTTTAGATACATAACGTGCTTGTGATGGTATTTTCAGTTCGGTTGACAATGATATTTTTTCAACACTCTACACTACACTTTCTCTCGTAGTCATATAAACAGAAGTTTTCTTATTTAATCAAAAGCTCTTTTGAAAAATCGGATGCAGATTTATTTGTTGCAACTCATTAAAAGCTTTCTTTTGTAATGAAAAGGTGAATAAACTAGATATCCTTACCGGAACGTTGATAAGATGATTAAAGCTATGAATTTTCTCATGACAACATTCATATACGTTAAGTCAGTGAAGTTTATCGACAGATGTTAGGTATTCCAATGGACAACAATTGGTGTCCACTGGAATATTTGACTTGTTCCTGTATTGTCATAAATCACTCTATATGGCAAAACTCAGTAAAGGTCCGTCTTACTTTATTAATATTTCTAATTTATAAATATGATAAAACTTGTCCTTACTTTGATGATATTTTTGCTCTAGAGAACCATAATAATAATAATAAATATAATAATAATAATAAAAATAGAACAATTGAAGGTCTTTCCAGCCAAAATCACTTAAGATAGTAAACAGTATTTCCGGTCTTGAATGATAGCTTATCACACGCTGACTTTGAAAATAAAATGTTTAAAGTGGGAACTTTTTTCATCAATTAAGGGAGATTATAAGCCACTTCTTGTAAAATCAAAATCACTTCCATTGTCAAATAATAGCTTACCTTACTCTGATTCTAAAAATATATAGTTTCTTCATACTTTTGCTTTAAATAAGGGAGATAAATTGCTACTACCGGTTTGAAAAAGATCACTTTTGGTTGACATTTTCAAGGTCATATGTCTACTAACCTAATGCAAAAGATCCCATGGTTTTATCATGTATAAATATGAATCTACAGTAAAGGTCAAAATCTAAAACGTCAATTTTACCTTTGACCTTGAACTAAATTTCGAAGTCATAAAGCAAGGAACTCAAATCAAATGACCCTGAGTCTCCACTATGTAAGGGAATTGAGTCCTAACCCAATACAGCTAATTTTGTTTATTAGAGGGAAGCAAACTCCTATCAAGTGTCAACGCACCCTTTTAACCAAAATATGTATGTTAGGACATGTCGCAATTAACAGTTTCGTAAAAATATGTTGTCGATACCTCATACGGTTTCTGAAAGGAAGCAATATTAAGCCAAAATCAAAATTTAACCTTGAACCCATTTTGATTTTGGTGGACAAAGGACCTCAATTCAAAAGGTCTCTATCACTTATGGTTTAGCAGTTACAATTACATTTCGCTTATTTTATATACAGAAGGGGAAATATATCTCATATGGAGTCTCCGGACCGCTTCAGACAAAATTATTCTTAAAATCCTGAAGATATAACGAGCAAATTGGTGAAATGGTTTTGTCGTAATCTTTTACGGTTGCGAAGGAGATGCACACACAAGAAAAACAGTGTTTGTGGAGATAATTTTTACAACAAAAAGTGTTCGGTTAACAGGGTCAGTTTCAAAAGCGCAATAACTGTTCGATATCATATGCAAAAAATCTAAGCCACATCTTGCGAAACAACTATACACCGCAAGAAATAAATGTGGCGGAAGAAAACAAAATAATCAGAACAAAAACAGTAGGTCTTTCCACAGAAAAGTTGAAAGTCCTAATAATAATAATAATAATAATTACCATAATGATAATGATAATAACCATATTAATTATAATAATAATTACCATATTAATTATAATAATAATTACCATATTAATTATAATAATAATTACCATATTAATTATAATAATAATTACCATATTAATTATAATAATAATTACCATATTAATTATAATAATAATTACCATTGTAATATAATAATAATAATACTTACCATACTAATTATAATAATAATAATAACTACCATAATGATAATAATAACGATACAAGAAAATGAATATTGACCCCCGAATATGCCTCATCTTTCTATACTTTGGTAGGTTGAAAAAATGCTTTTGGTTGAAATGTGTTTTTTTCGCTTGCTTAAAAAAGACTGTCTTGTTAATTTTTTCGCTTGGTGGGGCAACTTACATCCAATAAATATAATATGTACTGACATAATAGTCTTTTTCTAGATTTGGATATTTCAATTTCTTACGATATTTCTTTCATAGTCCAGCTTATTCGTGCATATTTTTAGAAGAATTGTGGGTTTGATGATAAAAGTATGAAACTTTGCACAATTGTAAAATTATATTTGGAAGTCAATTTAAGCTATGGACCGACTCTGAAAAATCCAAATAGCGTCCTTTTTCAATATGTCTGCAAATCAGTCCAAATTTCACCACCATGTATAAATTAAAGCAAATAATATTCAAACCAAATTTTTTTAAAACATATAAAATGTAATCCAACGTTTCTCGTAATATATGACGTTATATTTGACTTTTCATTTTTATTTCAAAATGGCGGAAATTTCAAAATGGCCGCCAAAAAGTGAAAATAAACAAAACTGAAACAAGGCTTTGCTGATATTTATTTCTTCTTTCGGATTGCACTTTGCAATATTCTAGGGATTGCGTTTCCATGATACATTTATGCTGCTTGCATGACAATTTAATCAAAGATCCCATAAATTGAAACATTCGAACGTTTTCAGGACGCCATTAGAATATGTTGTTCGACCGTTTAGTACATTCTGAGTCACAAATGATAATGGATATGTTCCACTTCTCCTTGCTATAATCCGCGATCGTGGTAACATCAAGATGATAAATAAAAGCTACTAATTACCGAATTTCTACTTAAAATGAGTAACATCCCGAGTGTTACCAGTTGGCCAGAAACTACACACCCTTCCTAACACCTGTGTTGACCCCTAGTTTTGATGAAAAGGAACTTGTGATGTATATGCTTTCAATATTATATGATATATGCCTAATAACTGGATACGACTCATCAATCTATTTAAACAAGAGCACATAGGCAGATGTCAATTGTTGAACAAGAACTGTGTACCCTTCTTAAGCACCTGAGATCATCCCCGGATTTCAGTGAGGTTGGTTATGCTCAATTTTTTATGTTTTTGTGTTAGCATATTTTTGCGTTTTGTATCCATGTTCTTATCTGGTTTTGTTTTACTAATGAATTTGAGTGCCTAAGTTTCTTCTGAATCGTTAAATCATCTAGACAACAACATATTTTTACAGCAGTTTTCAAATGTTTCTTCAAGACAATTCATTTAGTACTTGCCCCACTACCAACCACATTTAAAAAAAAACGTGCATAACAGCATTGTCATCTGCATTTTCATCTACCGAGACATATATTTTATATCTGTCATCCACACTTTATGACCTCATTTCAA